CCATCTGTCTGCTGGTCCTCCTCGCACTGACTCTGAAGTGACCCTTCAGGGTCAGCTCCGCTGTGTGGCTTGGGAAGGGGTCTCGGGGGAGGGTCCGGAGGGCCTGCGCCATCCACTCATCACGCAGAAGGCTCAGGTGGGAAGAGAGTGCCCATTTGTCCTGTCATCTGGTCAAAATAATCCGCAAACTGGACACTGGTGGCTCACGCCTGTAATCCAGCCTGCTTGAGAGGCTGAGATCTGAGGATCGCAGTTCAAAGCCAGCCCAAGCAGGAAAGTCTGTGAGACCCTTCTCTCCCATGAACCACCAGAAAACCCAGAAGTGGTGCTGTGGCTCGAGTGGTAGAGCGCTGGCCTTGAGCTGAAGTGCCGAGGGACAGCGCCCAGGCCCACAGTTCAAGCCCCATGACCATCAAAAAAACAAGGAAAAAGCTCTTGACCGGGCTGTACTGCCCGCCCATCCCCCGACCCCCCATCTCCAAGAACCAACTGCTCCCTGGAGGAGCCTCTCCCCCTCCCCCAACCATTCCGGCGCTGTGTGCAGGTGAGGTACAGGGGTTGGGGGGCTCTTCTACACCCAGTAGCCCTCAGCGTTCTCTGGCTCAGGCCGGGCACCGCCGGGCCTCTGACCCCCGGCCAGGGATCTGTGACATGAGGGACCCCCGGCAGGGAGAGTTTCCTTGTCTCCAAAGCCGCAGACACGCAGGGCAATGGCCAGTGTGGGCCTGCCCTGCCCTGTGTCCTGCCCCCCTTGTCCCTGGGCCGGGTGACAGGCCCCCTGAACCCTACATCCCGTGTCCCAGCCCTGCCCCTCCTTGCACTGGCCGGGCCCCAGCTGCCAAGCCCATCTCCCCGCACCGCGTGCCCTGGGGCCGGTCGGTCCACCTGCTGAGCCCCTATCCGCTCCTGGCAAGGCAAAGCTGGGCCTGGCAGCTGGGGTCTGCTGGCCCGGGCCAGCTCCTGGCGAACTGAGTCTCTCCCGGCACAGGGCTCTGGAAACGGGGCATAATTCGGGTGATCTGGGGTCTGGAGCCAGAGCCACGGGTGACAGGCTCTGGCTGTTGGGACACCATCGCTGCCCTGTTTACTAAAGGTGTGGGGTCTGGGTTCAGGGCCGGGCGGGGCCGGGCACAAGGGGAAGGTTTGGAGCTGAGATCCCAGGACTTGGGCCAGGCCTGGGGGTGTCCTGGCCCAGGTCTGGAAGAGACCAATTAGTCAAATGGCTGTACTGTAGTTGACCATTTGGAAGCAATTAACGGGGTCGCTATTACCACATTATGCAGCCCCCCACCTGGTTCCCAGCCCAGCCCAGCCCAGCCCAGCCCAGCTCAGCTCAGCCCAACTGTGGGGACAGGCCGCCCAGCCAGGAGTATGTGCAGGGCTCAGGACTCCAGGCTCTCAGTGCCTGCCGGGGCCAGGGGAGGGGCCTGAGGGCTGCCTGGGCCGGAAGGTGGGTGGGCTGAGGTGAGGAGGAAGGCCCAGGGGACCATGGGAAGTGTCTGGGGTCCGGGCACCAGCCAGGCCTTTGGGATGGGGGTGGATGCCCCGGGGGCCTGTCTGGACTCCATCCGCCTGGAGGGTGGAGGGCGGGTGGCAGGCCTGGCTGTGGGACCCCAGGCGGGGGGGGGGGGGGGCCTTGGAGGAGAGCACTGGGGGCTTGGGGGGGGTGGGCACAGCTGGGGGCTGCTCTGGCCCAGGGTGGAGGGCCCTGAGCTGAGGCACACTCTGGATCTCTGACGGATGGGCAGAGGTGGGGGACAGGGCGAGGTCCTTCTCTGGAGGTTCCTGCATTGAGTTGGCAGCGTGAGGAGGAAGCCGGCATCTCAGGGGTGGCGGGCAGGTGAGGCGGGGCGGGATCCAGCGCCTGGGTCTAGAAGGTGAGGAACAATGAGCACAAAGACAGTCTTCAACTCCTCACCTGAGGAGCACCTCCCCAAGGGGAGCACCCTGGTGTGCAGGACACTCCCTAGGAAGGGGGGGTCTTCTAATGGGGGAGCACCTTCCTGTGAGGAGCACTCTCTGGTAGGAGAGCACACCTGTTATGGGGAGCACTTTGCTATGGGAGCACCTTCCTGTAGGGGAACTTCCTTGGCCCCTGCTCCGTAGCTCTGCGTCCCCTTCCCCCCTTCTAGGGCTCAGACAGGCCGGGCAGCCGGCGGAGGCTGACCCACCGTGGACAGGGGCTTCACTGGCCTTGTGGAGGGAGATTCGGCCAAGGAACCAGCGGGGTGCCTGCTCCCCGTTGGGCCTTAGGGCTGGAAACGTCTCTGCCTCCACCCCACCTTCCAGATCCATAGCCACCCGTCTCATGCCAGAGCCCTGCCCGCTTAGAATGGAGGCAGAGGCCTGGCTGCTGCCCGGGGTGGAGCCTGGGGGAGCCGGGCCCCCTGGCTGGACCGGCTTGCCCCGTGTTGGGCTGGCTGCCGGACCTCGGGCAGGGCTGAGGCCAAGAGGCTGGGGAGCAGCCACCGAGAGGGGTGGCTTTTCCCTGCGGAGTCAGCGGCCGGGCCAGGGCGCCCGCACCGCCCCCCGGGGGCCCCGCGTACCCGTGGCGCGCTCGCTCCCTTCCCGCCGCCATCCTCCGCTATGGCCTCGGTCTTCACCTGTCTGCGTCTTCGCCTCGGCCTCTCCGTCTGGGCCGATGCTTCGGGGCGTGCGGTGCGTCTCTCCTCGCCCTTTCTGTCTCCCTGGGGCTCGGGCTCAGGGCGCCCTTGGCCTCGTCCGTCCCCCCCCACTTCCAACGCCGCCGGGGGCGCCCGGTGTGCGCACGTGGGGAGCCCCAAGGGGAGGCGGACACCCCGGGGAGCCCCCCACGCGCCCGGCGGCCCCCCTTCCCGCCGCCTCACGGGCGCTCG